GAGGAGTGGCTGGTGGGTTTGAACTGCCTAGGCATTATCATTATCAATAATCTAAGTTCACAAAAAACCTAAGGCTTTTATATATATTCTTCTTTTTTTTTTTTTTAACCTAGAGGAGAGAAACCTTCTGTTTCTAGCTCCATAAATTTTAACAACTGTTTGGAGAAAGCACTGGGCTAGAGCCTATGGCCATGTGCAGTGGTTGACATGGCCTATGGCCTATGGCCTATGGCCATGCGTGGTGAACATGCATTCTGGATGCTTATCCAAAGCATTCATAGGAAAGAATCAAGGTCTTGAGTTACAGATAAAAACCTTCAAGTCACTTGAGGTTAAGCTATGAATCCACCCCATTTGATGTTAGTCACTAAACTCTTCTCAGTTTTTTTCTTATTGTTGTGGCCTTATCTTATCTACATGGTATTTTGAGAATCCACATGTGTAAAGGCTTCCCAGCCAGTAGGCCTGCTAAGCAGAGGAAGTGTGTGGACATCACATTTACAGGGTAATACATTTGGGAGATACAAGGTGTTAATAAACATTGTCTGGAAAATAGCTTTTCACACTGTTATATGCCTCTTTTTCGTATTCACTTTGTGGTTTCTCTCTTAATTACCCAAGATGCTTTCTTAACACCATTTGGGGCTTATTAGTTTTCCCCAGAGCTGACCTCAAGTGAATTGATTTTAATTAGCACTTGTTTCAACTTTATCCATCTGCATAGCTTGGCAAAGCATGGCACCTTGCAGGACTGGCTCTCGCAAGCTGTAAAATTCCTGGAGAGAGGCATATGTAGAGTGTCATCCCAAAGAAATGTTCCTCTTGTCATCTGATCTCTCTACAGAGAAATCTTTTCATCTTTAAAGTTTGACAGAAGGTAAATGGGGTGACAGAGATGATGACAGGTAAAGAAGAGAAGATTAAGTCTTATGTTTAAGGTGTTTTATAAATGTGTTCCGTTCCAAAAGTTCCTTTGTGAATCACTGAAACAGCGTAACGTAGTTTTTCAGCGCAGAGGGAATATAGAAATAATCTTGTCACTCTTACCCAACATCTTGCCCCGTTTGAGTGACATGAAAACCTGAGGCCCAAAGATAGTACTCTATCTAGACTAGTTTCACACAGGGTAGACAATGACGGAGACAAAATTAAAATCTCGATTTCCTTATTCCAATCTGCCTATGACCCTGTACCCTACAGGCTTATTTGAATTCAGAATCTCTTGTCTAGGGAAGAGATATAATTCAGTTACGATAGGAGTGAAAGAGATAGAATAATTCAGTTAAGATAGAAGTGAAATGGACTTCAGAAGCTAATGCCATTTTAACATGGCTCCTTTGTCAAAATGCACTATTGCTTACTTGGGTGTCTCATCTTCTCAACAGCCTTCTCTCATCAGCCTGTTTAAAAGTCCAATCCCCTTCCTGCCCCCATTCAGCACTCTTTCTTCCCCTTCCTGGTCTTCAGTACTTATCATCATTTAACAAACTATTTTTTTACTTTTTTTTTAGGCCTCATTCTACTAGGATCTAAGCTCTGTGGGAAAGGATGTTTGCTTTTTTAACTGCTGAATCTTTAGGGCTTAGAATTATACCTGGCACATAGGTGCTCAAGGTATATTTGCAGAGTCTGTAGCCCTTCCCATCTGTAGGCCTGGTCTGCATATGAGACAGATGGATTGCCTTGCCTACCTCTTTTATCACCTCTTGCCTTTGCTGAATTGAGAATATCCATGTTTTTCCAGTAAGCAAGAAGACAAAAGCTACTCTTCCAAGAAATATCTAGTCTTCATTTTGCAGGATAGCTTTTCCCTATGTGATTTGGACAAACAGTGAGTCATTATGAGACATTCCTAACGTATAAACCCTGTAGCTGTACTTCTTATTAATCAGGTTGTTTCACACTATATTTGTAACCAGAGCTGTTCATTATGTGTCACCTACTCCAAGAAGCAAAGGAACTTTGCTGTTGTTGACTAATATCTCTTGCTCTAAAGTACTTTGATTTGAGTGTTATTTTTTAACTGGCCAAATTTGTTAGTGGCAAAACTATCGTCAAGAGTTTTCTCCCATCCTTGTCCAGAGCAAAGAAGAATGAAGAAAACCAAAATTCATGGAAACAATTAGTCTTAGCAACTGGTACACCATCCGATCTGCAGCCTATAAAACTATGAGACCAGAAGAACTAGATGGTGCCCGGCTACCGCTGTCATCCA